ACAGATATGATAATATTTAGATGATATAATTTTATGCATATTCAATGATAATGTTATGCAGATTGTATGATAATGATATGCATGCAGAATATGTGGTCATGATATGTAGATGATATAATAATGTTATGCAGATTGCATGATAATGATATGCAGAATATATGGTCATGATATGTAGATGATATGATAATGTTATGCAGATTGTATGATAATGATATACAGATATGATAATATTTAGATGATATAATTTTATGCATATTCAATGATAATGTTATGCAGATTGTATGATAATGATATGCAGAATATGTGGTCATGATATGTAGATGATATAATAATGTTATGCAGATTGCATGATAATGATATGCAGAATATATGGTCATGATATGTAGATGATATGATAATGTTATGCAGATTGTATGATAATGATATACAGATATGATAATATTTAGATGATATAATTTTATGCATATTCAATGATAATGTTATGCAGATTGTATGATAATGATATGCAGAATATACGGTAATGATATGTAGATGATATGATAATAATATGCAGATTGTATGATAATGAGATAAATATATATGCAGAATAATGCTTACGCAGACCATATGTAGCAAATGCACAAATATGTAGCAAATACATAACATACAGACTGGATAGGAATTATATGCACTTTTATATATTAATTATATGCTAATGATATGCAGATTATATTTTAATTATATGCAGATTTAACAATTATGATATTTATAAATTCTGCTGATACAGAATTGTCTACTAATGATATGCATATTGACACAAATATGAATGTTATATTAGATATTCACAGAGATTACATGTACGTGGATGCTAATGATATGCAAATTATGTTAATTATATGCAGATACAAATGATATGCAGATGGGAAGCTAATTGTATGCAGATTCAATTCAAACGGTAAGCATTTCATATATGAAATCTGAAAGCGCCATGCCACAATAATAATAATAAGGGGCCAACTATTTGAAATCAAGAGAGGTTGTAAGCTGGGATCACAGTCAGCTGGCGCACACGTATTAATAAAATAAATACGATATTTACTATATGAGGGCCGCCATCTTGAATGCAGCATAAAACTAAATAAGAAACAAGCTGTGAAACACGTTTTTCAGATTCTTAGAAATCAGGACACAAATACAAATTTTTTTCACAAAAATGCAATCCGTTTGGGTTATATCAAGCCAACCGATAAAAAAATTTGGTCGAATTCGTCGTTAATGAGTGGAAAAATCTCTTAAATACGAACACCTAATTTCACGAATTGTCATTCCAGCTCAGCAGCCATTAGAAGATAATAATTTTGGTTTCAAATACCCAAGGAAAGTGTTCTATGTTCTTTGTGTAATTAGGTGTTTGTATGCAAAGGATTTTTCCACACACAAGATGGCGGCCCCCATATAGTAAATATCGTATTTATTTTATTATCACATATGGCTGGGATAGTGGGACAAGTGCAATTTTCTTTTCATAGTGCTTTATCCGCACATTTCCCCTTTGTTTGAATGTGCCAACAGTGTTTCCCTGCATTGTATTTTTTTATTCACAGTGTGTTACCTGTAAATTTTCATTTTTCCTGAATGTGTTTTCCCTCAATCACCTTTCTTGTAATTTATTCCAACAAATCTTACAGCCACCCCCATAATTTTAAATGGTTTGCCCCTTATTATTATATCACTTATTATTGAATGTACTCGTGTTATATAATTACTGTAGAATACTTTATTTTCGCTTGGAATTTATTTTCGCTATTTTCGCTGAAGGGATGACTCCGTGAAAATAAAATCCAGCGAATATAGTTTTTTTTTCCTATATTTCACATTAAACTCATCAAAAATCAGTGAAAATAAATTCCAAGCAAAACGCCCAAAAAACCTTTTCAGCGAAAATTAATTCCAGTTAAAATAAAGTATTCCACAGTATATTAGTGGCATTAAAATAACAAAAACATGACAAAAAAATTAAGTCAATGGAAAATGAAACAATATTTCTCTACATCTCAGAATGTTGTTTGATGACATTTCAAATAGAAATGTGCTGAAAGAAAACATTAAAACACAGATACATGTATCCCATAATGCCATGCTGCAACAACAGCAGTCCCTTAGAATTAATATACACCTTTTCAACTCTGCTTAAAATGTACTGTTTAAAAATATTTTTTTTTTTTTTGTAAATCACATTAGTGTTAATATAAAAGAATTTTTAAAAACCTAATTGACAATTCATTAATTTCAGTGTTTTTTTTTATTCATTGTTAATTCCTGGCTATATGATTGTTTGCCTCAGTTTTTTTAACTTACAAAATCCATACTTCATTGCATGTATATGTATTAAAAAAATGTATTTTCCACATTTTAGGAAAATTAAAATGTATATCATTGTTCAAAAGTAACATCGACACCAATACATTCCCAGAACAAAACTGAAGTTGCTATAGTAACATATATGCCTAAAATTGTGTATTCCTGCTTATGGTAGCTTAGCAACCATGCAAACACAGAAAGTCTTACATTGTAAAAATTTTGATTTTTTGTTTGTCAGTAGAAGCACCATTACAAAGTAAATTAATTTATTGCACAATAACTTCAAAATTTACTTGTTGTCATGGAGACATGATTCCATAAGCGTCGAAAAACTATTCACTCCAACGCGACCAACAGATCTTCTTCAAACATGGCTATTGCTAACATGATGGAAATTCCTGTCAGAAAGCCAAGGTTCTGTAGCAATAGGTGACAGCACTGACTTTCGTCCTTGGTGGATGCCGCATTTGCCATCTCCGGAAGCTGAAACGACACACAAAATTCAAAATTTTGAATCAGATTCTCATCTTACACCACTGAGCATCAATTTTGCAAGTTTTTGATTATTTTGATGAGTCCGAAAAAACAGCTTTTAAAAAATTTTGCCATTAAATCACGAAAAATTAGCCGAGAAGATGATTTACAATACTTTAAATGCATTATGGAAGACAACTTCCCATCGTAAAACACACTTTCTATATAACTTTGATAATATGACTTCAAGACCTTGGCAACAGTGTCAGAGGTCAGAGGTCATACTCATCATATACTGTTGACTGGTTTATATTTACCACAGACAAATTTAGCGAGTCTTCATGAATTTCATAAAATCCAGTGAAAATTAAACAGTTTACAGTTTATGCTAATGAGAAACTTTCCATCTGATTTGCTCGTAGAAAGAATGTTTGTAATTTATAGTTTTCTCAACTGATTTTTTTTTTATTAGGAAAACAAAAACTTTTAACTTGTACCTCTTTAAGCTGTATTTTTTTCATTAAAGGACTATGGTTGTCGCGCCGCATCCTGTTCGATGTGGGACTCGTAGCGACGCACACAAAACGTTTCAAATACATTTTTTGTTTACATGAAATTCAAAGACACGCTGCAAAATGACCACGCCCTATGACCATATTAACACTGAGGGCAGTATCATAAAAACCATAACAACTCACCACTGAGGGCAGCATACAAATACATTTTTTGTTTACATGAAATTCAAAGACGCGCTGCAAAGCAACCACGCCCTATGACCTTATTAACACTGAGGGCAGTATCATAAAAACCATAACAACTCACCACTGAGGGCAGCATCATAAAACTTTCCCCCTCTCACCACTGAGGGCAGCCTCATAAAACACTTACCATATCAACCAGGGCAATGTATAAAAACATTCCACCAGCTAATGCAAAAAGCCACGAACTCATAGATTCAATGTTGCCTAGCGCCACACCAATACACATACCAATGTACGCCAATATAGAGGAGACAAGACTGTACATGACCGCTTGCTTCACTCTCATCCCGGACGAAAGCAGGATTGCAAAGTCACCTGATAAAAAAAAAATAAACACAGATAAACTATAGAAACCTTGCTATAAAATAATCATATGATCCATTTCAAAATAATGTATATTACACATTGCAAAGGTGGACAAAACTGCTAATAGGTCATAAACCTTATTAACCAAGCAGGTTCCAACTCACCTAATTCATGTGGAAGTTCATGACAAAATACAGCAATTGTTGTACTAAGCCCAGCTGTAATACTGCCAGCAAAGGCAGCCCCAATCGCTAAGCCATCACTAAAATTATGTAGACCATCTCCCATGATGACCATCCAAGCAACCGAGGCAATGTTCTGACTCTTTATATCACCATGATTATGACTGTGCCCATGGTGACCTTGGTTCTCTTCAGCTTCCTCATCTCTGTCATGATGGCCATCAGGGTGATGATCGCTATGCTGGTGGGTGTCATGGTGATGATCACTATGGTGATGGTCATCATGGTTATGGTTTTGACTACACTTCTCTTCGTCTTGTTTTTCAGGCTTTTGGATGTAGCTGTGTGTTTCACCTAAATAATTGGAGAAAAGAAATAACAAATGTTACATTCTAACATCAGAGGGACAAAGCAGCGTACATTCAGCAGCACAAAACGCCATGTAGTATTTTTGAATCTTATTTTCGTTACGCCTGAAGGTCACCTAATAGCGTTGTTAGCTCGATAGAAAAATTATTTGGTCACTTGTGATTGTCTTGCTAATTCAACATGGCCGAAGTCAAATCAGTGTTGTTGTCCATCACTATATAAACCCCACCTGCCTATAGTGACCACTTTTAGAAAGTGCCAAGGCATTATGTATGAACAACCTGTGCATAAAGACCACTTGCCTATAGTGACCATTTTTAGACAGTCTCAGGGCATAACATATGACCAACCTGTGTATAAAGACCACCTGCCTATAGTGACCACTGTTAGACAGTCTCAGGGCATAATGTATGGGCAACCTGTGTATAAAGACCACCTGCCTATAGTGACCACTTTTAGACAGTCTCAGGGCATAATGTATGGGCAACCTGTGTATAAACACCACCTGCCTATAGTGACCACTTTTAGACAGTCTCAGGGCATAACGTATGGGCAACATGTGTATAAAGACCACCTGCCTATAGTGACCACTTTTTAGACAGTCTCAGGGCATAATGTATGGGCAAACTGTGTATAAAGACCACCTGCCTATAGTGACCACTTTTTAGACAGTCCCAAAGGCATAACATATGAGCAACCTGTGTATAAAGACCACCTGCCTATAGTGACCCCTTTTTACAGTTCCAAGACATAACATATGAGCAACCTGTGTATAAAGA